AAAGAGAAGTTCGATTCTCTACTGCATTAGATAAGCACTAGTCACAACACAGCTAATAGGAAGGCTTTACAAGAAGCCTGGTCTATTATCTGCTCCAAAATAGAGCCAAAACATGCAAAAATAAACATCAGAGTTTCTATCTCTCTAATCTATGCTATTTTTAAAATATTAAAACTACATAAAACTATAATTTGGTTTTGTTTCTGAAACATAACACTAATGGCATGACAAATTGCAATAAACGTTAAATTCAAACCATCATTCACATTGGTAGTTTAATGACATCATTATGCTTAAAGAACCAGTGATGTAAGCCACTGACCTGCATACCTTCAACCCCACTGATCCCAACACCAATATCTGCTTCTTGAATCATGCCAACATCATTTGCACCATCACCTATTGCTAGAGTAGTCTTCCCAGTACCTTGTTTCACTAACCTTGTTACCTGGCACCAAAAGATTAAGGTGGACATCAAAAAACGACACACAAGATTATTTCTCACAGTTGATACATTGACAGAGATTAGAAAATGCTACCAACACAAGTGATACAATGACTATTGTGCACTACTGAACTCATGGATCCATCTGAGTTTAACTGGATCCATGTGAGGAGCCATGCACAAATTTAATTCCGTTCATCAACTACATAACTGTAACGAAGTATTATATGAAAACCTAAAATTCACAAGTGAAAAAGTAAAGAGGTCCTACCAATGCCTTTTGCTTGGGAGACACACGACAACAGATTACAGATGCACAATCAACTGCCAATGCCAAAAATTGGTGCTTCATATCATCTTCTAAAGTATATGTCAGAGTTTTCCCATCAATAATTAATGCAAATGCAGCATGAGGATCCTTCTCCAGTTTTATCATTTGGGAAGCATTGGTAAGTTGGTTTGAAATGTTATCCTTGATGGCCTGGGGTGTTAAACAAAAGAACTAGGCCTAACATCAGATGATACTCAAGTCCAGAAAGTAAACTCCTTTACCCTTTCTCAATGACTAAAGGTACCTGTTTGACATCGCTGGCTACAGAATCTGAAACCGGAGTAGTTATACAGATCTGCTTCATGCCCTGTCGTAGCAAACTGCAAGCAAATCTGTACCACAGAAACAAGATAGGTTCATAATGCATTTTACATAGACATTATTGAACAAGTAAAACCTTAATTATTTATAGCAGAAATGAAATAATTTCATGAGGTCAAATGATTTGTGGTAGACAGACCCAATGTTGATTGCTGTTTCCATCTTATCCCCTGTCAACACCCAGATCTTAAGACCAGCTTGAGCAAGATTATCAATACACTGGGGAACCTGCAGAGGACAAAAAATTGAATTTGGTTGGATATTTTAAGTAGAAAAAAAAGTATTGCTATAAAGAACGACAAGGCCCACCCCTTTCTGCAGTTTGTCTTCCACAGCAGTAGCCCCAACAAGAATCAACTCTCTTTCCATCATATCTGATACTCGCTCAAGCATTGAATCTCTGTCAGCCCCAACAGCTGATTTGGCTTTATGAAATTCATTGTTCCATGCAGAGTATTCCTGCTCATCCAGCTTTCTATAAGCCAGGGCTAGTGTTCTCAAACCAGCTTCTCCGTATTCATTTAGATGTTTGGTAGTAGCCTCCAAATACATTTTTCCATTCTTTGACATGCGATCAAATATGATACTGCATAACCAAGTAATAAAGGAATGGATGGCAAAGGTTAAAGAGATATGAAGGTATCAAAGAGCATTCATGTGGATGTGAGGTGCTTTTTAGTGGCTTCTTTCTTTCGAAGCAGGAAATTGAGGTGATTATTCTAATGTGAGGTGGATTTTAGTGGTAAACAAGTTTGAAACCCACAAGCTTGAACCTCTAATGTAAATTTTGAGATATAGGTCCTATCAGCCATTGACAACCATAAGTTCAGCTGCGGGTAATGAAACTATAGGCATTAGGAAAGAATAACTGATTCAGCAAGCTAACCTGTCAGCTCCTTTGCACATAAGAAAGATACTGCCCTCCTCATCACGCACAATCACTGACATTCGTTTTCTTTTACTAGTAAAATCCAGCAGATTCAAAAGTTTGTACTCTCTGAAGAATTCACCCCAAAAGTGCATAAATAGAGGGCAAATAGTTTGAAAGAATTTAAAAGCAAAAGCAAATTTTGGAACTCCTCTGATTCAGGCTGACCCTGAAGGGGGAAGTAGAAAAACGCAAGAGTTTTGGTGAATACTGACCTTTCAACCACTTGTCTAGAAGCAGAAAACCTTTCATGTATGAAAATACTTGACTGAGTTCTTCTGCAAAACTCAAAGCCAAATTCTCTTGCTGCAACAAGAAAAGCCCCTTCATCAGGTGACTCAGCTTCATATGTAAAAACACCAGTCTCCTCATTCAGCTCGGGAATGGCAGTGTGGCAAACTGCTAGTATTCGGAAGAACATTAAAAGGTCATCAGCATTGGGCTCTTTCAACCAATTACAATTCATAAGGCGGTCATCTTCAAAACCAAATCCCTTTATGGCACGCTTTTGATCATCATCTCCTTTGGAAGTAACAACAGCATCCAGTCCAATTTCTTCATCTTTTTTAACATTATCCCATGAAACTTGCATTTTAGCCTTAGGCAGGGGGAAATTGGAGAGATCTGAATCCTGGTCCTCAAGATCAGAAGCCATCTGCTTTGCTGCAGCAAGTTCAACTTCGCTGGAGCGCACACCGTATGCAGTACCAGCAATGGAGCACTTCAGAAAGTCCATCTGATTACAGGTCAAAGTTCCAGTTTTATCTGACAGGATAGTATCTACCTGACCCAACTCTTCATTCAAATTTGATGTCCGTGCATCAGCTGGAGTCCCAGTTTCTTCATCATACATTTGAATGTCTTGGTTGATGAAGGTTGCTTGTAAAACCTTTACAACCTCGATGGAAACATAAAGTGAGATGGGTATCAAATATCCATAAAGAATGAGCGCAGTAACCAGATGACTCATTCCAGCTACTCCAACTTTCTTGGGATCATACTGGTATTCAATATTGTCCGGCCGTAAATACCACCAAGTTGGGGTTTGGTACTTGGTCTTGATGACAAATCCTATGGAACTAATAACAGATATCAAAATAAGGACAGTGAAGAGGGTGTATATGATATAATCCATCTTCTTTTCTATTGTGCTTCTTTTTGAAGGGGATTTTGTTGAATTTTGCATGACTTTGCTATCATGACCAGTGAAAATGGCCACCCCATAGATGTACTCGGTATTCCTGAGCTTAGAATCTCGGAGAAGAATTTGACTAGGATCAAGAGGATAAATCTGGCGCTCATACTCTAAGTTTCCAACAAATGTGTAAAGATTGGGGTTTGGGTCTTCACAACGTATTGTCCCAGCGAAATCTTTAAAAACTTCGTCATTATCTAGATTCAAGGTAGCCTCCAAAGATCTTTTCACCTTCAAGTTGGTCTCACCATCTAAATTCATAGTCTCCACATAGCATATCCCATCCTCATAACTTGATGACAGCAGAAGCAAATCAGCTGGAAAAAATTGATCCTTTTTCACTTTTAGCACATCCCCAACCATAATGCTCTGCCACGACCTGGGACCAAAAGCACCATCGCTTTTATGACGATTAACTTTTCGGCGATTAACTTTGACATCCTGAACGAACCTACGAGAATCTTCCAATGCTTCCTTTGCCATGCTGAGCCCCACAACAAATGCCAAAGGAGCAATCATGCTCAGTGGGCTGAAAGGTGAAATTGGAGAGGCTGAGAGACACGCAGCCAAAAGGAAGTATATATTAGCAACCCTGCGGAATTGTTCAAAGAGTGCCTTGGGGAAAAACGTAAGAACATTGTACTTAGTCGTGGATATATCATTCCTACAATAATAAAGAGGCTTCTTTTCGTGGAGAAGAGGCTGATTGCAATACACAGTTCGCGAGAACCCGGGACCTTGAAGTGGATGAGGTGCCTCCTCAACGGTAGAAGGCTTAAGGCAACTAAATGTGTAAAGATGGCTCCTCCGGAGCCTCGCCCTTATCCTCCCCCGTGTCATTTAACCAGAATTCAGCTCAATGAAGGGTTATATTTAACTTAACACATACCCAACAACAAGTAAACCCAAATCTTTTGAACCATCAACCTGCCCCTTGTCCTCAATTTGTTCTCTTTAAACCTACCAGCCACACATGCATCAAATTATAAATTAAAAGTACAAGAACATAATCCCAAGAATAAGAAATCCAAATTCACGCAAACAATAAAATGCGAAACTAAAAAATACGAACATTCCAACTGAATTTCAAATTCATGAGATTCTCAAACGTCATACTTTTTTTTTACAAGAACAACATAAAAAAAAAAAAAAACAAAGAAACCCGAGATCCTGTGACACACTCGTTCCTTTTCCCAGGTAAGAGAAATCCGAGAATTCGAATCAATGAGCTAAACAACGTCATTTCAGTGTCTCAAATAAAGAAAATATGCTTTCAAAAAGCTAAAAAAAAAACAACAACGTGGTTCATGTTTTACTTTATTTATCTTTTGTTTCAAAATTAGCCTAACAATAAAAACACCAATGATCCAGCTAGAGGTGTAACAATAATCAACAATGCCAGCGAATTGAAGATTCAGTGCAACCAAATCCACCAAATTGAATACAAAAAAAAAATCCAGTTTCTCTCACAAATGAAGGCAGTTAGAAATAAAAAAGAAATTCAAAAAGACAGAGAGGAAAGCGCACGCACCGAACGGGAGGGGCCCGTTCATGCTGCGTAACGAACGTAGCAATGCAGTAAAATACGAAGGGTAGGGAAGAGGAAGCAGAGTCACGCTACGCGTGTTGTTCGTTGCAGATCGTGGAAGGAGACAAAACGAAGAGAGAGAAAATCGTGAATGAAATCGAAAGAGAGAAGAAAAAAAAAAAACAAAAGTTTAGAGAGAGAAAGAGAGAGAGGACAGGGTTTTAGTTTGAAAATGAAAGAAAGAGAAGGAAAATGAGAGAGAAAGAGAAAGAGAGTCTCACATCATACCCACACTCTCTCTTCTTCTTTCCCTCCTCTGATGCCAGCAATTTCCGGTCCCTCGACACATTTATATTTTTTTCCCTTTTTTTATCTTTTATCTTTTTTTGGATATTTGTTACAAATAGAATAGGAAAATATGGTTTTCATTTTTCTTCTTTCAAATTTAAATTCATGATAAAGTGAATAATGAAGAAGACACATGTCATGCTGTCCTAAGTGGCAACACCTGAAGCTAGCAATGGTGCTAACTTTTTCTTTCATCTTCTTCCTTGCCACTGTCTGCCATGTATGTCAGAAACTGTAACAATGGCAGAAATTTAGGAGCAATCTACATGTTTCAGTAATCACCATCAGCATATGATAACAGGTGTTTCCATAGCTTACGCTTTTAAAAAATGAATAATAATAGAAATCAAATTGAGTCAAGTGATTTTTTTTCTCAAAGATCTCATTTTTGAGAACATGTTCATTTATTCAACTCTTGTAATTATATTATAATGTAATTCATTAATGCCTCTGAGTTTTTATTAGTAACTACCCAATCATGGCAAGATTTTTTTTTTCATAAAATCTGATTTTTAATTTGATGGAGATGATTTTTTAAGGCACTTAAACTTATCAATTTGGGTTTTCCATTTTTTATTGTCAAGTGGATATCTCCATTTACGCGGTTAGAGGTAGGTGGGTGTTGTGTGGGTAAGAGGAAAAGGAACAATTCTATTTGACTTCACCACAATATTCTTATTATTTTGTACGTATTTTTATAAATATAAAATGAAAAAAATATTAATTTATGTGACTTTTTTTTGCACACTTTTAATTTATTCATACATTATATTTTAGGTATTCGTACAATAAATATCTTTTAAAAAAATTGACATTATATTTTATATAACTGTGAGAGTACTCTTTCGCTTCTGGTAACACTTTGAAGGAGACGATAGATGATGAATGTCATCTTGGCTTATCTCAAACGTTATTGTTTTTGTCTTTTACACCTTTCATGATACAAATAGGGGATGGGGATGTTTTTCCTTTCTATTTCCTCTTATTTTAATATTTTTCTTGTACATAATTAAAAAAATGCTACAAAAATAATTAATAGTAGTTAATTCTATTTTTTTAAACCACCCATTATTTGTAGATATATTTAACAAGAGTTAATGGATAAATATTATTTGTGCATTAAGCATATTAATAATAATTTATTTCATATATTTAAACACTTTTTAGTATAATTTTTTAAGTTTTATATTTAATTTTTACAATTATAGACAAACAAAGATTAATTATATTTTTGAATGATACATCTAATATTTTCAAGAAAAAATTATGAGAATATAGGAATATGAAACACATGAAGGAAGCCGACCAAAATTGATTCAACTAAACTCTCCTCATGCTTAGCCAACTTTAGACTAAAGAGCGTAAGTACTAAAAAGTTATGTCCCGTCCAACAAACCATTAAGGCAGAGAGCATGAAAAATTTGTTGTCAAACAACGCTTAACCACAACTACATCTTTTTCATTTATTATTTTACTTTTATGTGTTATTCAAAATTCTATTTTGTTCAGTTTAGATGCAATCACTGAAATTTCTTATATATTTTGATTATATTAATTTCTCCATTATTTTATCTTTATATTTATTGATTATTGTAATTTGATTAATTATAAATTAGTTATACTTATAAGATATTGACTAATTCTTTTAAATTCTTGATCTAAGATAAGTCAACCAAGAAATCATTTGTATGAAAAAAAAAAACGTTGTTGATCATCTTTATATCTTGAGTTTAATGTAATTTTATCTAATTAAGTTGATAATGAAATGTGATTCGATAGAATATGCTTAGTTTGTTATAAGATATTTGAATATATATTTAAAGGAAGTTTAGATAGTGCAATTATAAAAAATTAAATCTACATTACAATAAAAAAAATATTAAAAGCCTAAAATTCTTACAAAATAAAAATTATTTTTGTGAATAGTATATTCTCATCCATGCATTTATCACTAAAATAAGACAAAAGTCTTGAAAGAATATGCTGATATCATTGTACTTCATTCAGTTTCATGTTAACACTTCCACTCCAGAAAAATCTCACACAACAAGTAATATTCAATCATTAAGGATTGCTTTGACGTTGAAGTCAACTAGTAAATAAAAGAAGAGCTTCACATGATCGTTCCTTGCTTGCTTGCATTGCAGTGGGGGAATGAGTTCCTCCACGAAAAAGCACGACGTGTTTGTGAGCTTCAGAGAAGACACACGATCCAGGTAGACTCAAAACACAGCTAGTATTTCCCTTTGTGTGGTTTGTTTCATTTGTATGTAAGGGACGAATCTCATGTCATTGGGAATTTTGTCAATGATATAATGCAAAACTTCATCTGCGATGCCGTCCTGAATTAAAGGGCCTTGTTGGAAATAAAGAAAATTGCAGAAATGTAGAATCATTACTAAAAACATGTAGGGTCATTGGAATTTGAGGCATAGGTGAAATTGGTAAGTCCACAATTGCCAAAATCTTGTTTGCTGAACACTTTCCCCAATATGACCATGTCTGCTTTGTGGCCAATGCAAAAAAATATTCATTGGACAAGCTTTTCTCTACGCTATTGAAGGAAGAGTTTTCCTCAACAAATGTCGTAGGATCGTCGTTTCATATGAGGAGACTCAGTAGCAAAAAGGTTTTCATTGTACTTGATGATGTTGACAACGATAGTTTAGAGCTATAACAGTATTTATGTAGGGAGTATGAAGGCCAACATCGCGATAGTAAACTCGTTGTAACAACAAGATAGAAGCAATTGCTTGCTGGAAGGGTTGATGAGACATACGATGTTCAGGAATGGAAAAAGACAGAATCTCTTGAGCTTTTTTGCTCAGAAGCCTTTAAGAAAAGTTATCCAGAAAGAGGCTATGAGAGTCTATCAGATAGTGCAGTTAAATATGCTGGGGGAGTTCCATTAGCTCTTAAAGTTCTGGGTTCATATTTTCGTTTGAGAACTATCGAATTTTGGGAAAGTACTTTAAGAAGACTATACAACTATCCTAACGAGAGAATTCAGAAAGTGCTAGAAGTGAGCTACACTGGATTACATGATCTAGATAAGAATATATTTCTAGACATTGCATTTTTTTTTCAAAGAAAAAGATAGAGATCATGTCATAAGGATACCAGATGCCTGTGATTTTGAAACAACTAGTTTAATAGAAGTTCTCGCAGACAAAGCTTTGTTAACAATTTCGTATGGGAAGATAATACAAATGCACGACTTGCTGCAACAAATGGGATTGGAGATTGTATGTCAAGAATGTACCGTATATCCTGGCAGACGTAGTCGCTTGAAGGACAATGAAGCTCGTGAAGTGATTGAAGAAAACAAAGGTAAATCAACAATCTGCTGGATTTTGACAAGAGAGAAAGCTGTAACTAATTTGATACAGTTTACTTCTTTTGTTTTTGTCAGGGAACTGATGCAATTCAAGGAATACAATTAGATTTGTCTCAAATTAAAAATTTACGTTTGCATTCGGACACATTGACAAAGATGAAAACCTTGAGATTTATGAAATTTTATAACTCCTCGGGTCAGAGTTCTAGTAATACATATATCGACCTTCCTGCAACGCTTGAACCATTTTCTGATAAACTGAGGTACATTGATTGGATTGGATACCCTTATGAGTCTCTTCCATCACCTTTTTGTGCTAAGTTTCTTGTTGAGATTCACATGCCACACAGCAAAGTTAAACAACTTTGGCAGGGGATTCAGGTAATTAAAGAATGATACGTATGTACGCATGTTTACATTTTGTTTTTTTTTGGAGGATTTTCCGTTGTGATTTCTCCTTTTGAATTGTTCACAGGAACTAGCTAATTTAGAGGGAATTGACCTAAGTGGATGCAAACAATTTGAAGAGCTTCCAGATTTGTCTAAGGCACCGAGACTTAAATGGGTGAATCTCTCCGGTTGTCAAAGTTTTGCAGTATCTTCATCCATCTGTTTTATACTCCGATACTCTTGTTACTTTGATACTGAATGGGCGTACAAAACTTCAGGGTGTTAAAGGTGAAAGACATTTAAAATCTCTAGAGCAGATCAGTGTCAATGGCTGCTTAAGTCTGGAGGAATTTGCAGTGTCATCAGATTTTAATTAAAATTTTGAATTTCAGCGACAGAGAAATCCAAACGTTGGGAGCATCAGTAAGGCGTAAACGCAATGTTATGAAGCTCCATGTAGAGGGTTTAAGAGTCAGCCATACTTTAAAGGAGTCATCTGAACCCACCAACCACCCTACTTCCTTACCAAATTTATACGAGCTAAATCTATATCGATGCAATGTCAAAAGGTTTCCTGAAAACTTCGATATTCTTGAAAACTTGAGAATTCTGTCCTTGGAGGATTGCAACGAGATTCGGCATCTGCCAAACCTTCCATCCAGCATCAATTACTTAGGTGCCATTAACTGCTCGTCATTGGTGTCAGTATCAAAGCAAAATGGCACAGCACTGATTGATAACAGCAGTATGTTCTGGTGCAAAGATCCAAAGATGGGTCTCTCAAGGCTTGATTTATGCAGTTCAACGATTTCCTTAAGAAACCAACGCGAAGCTTTCCCACAAAATTCAAATCATTTCTCCTTTTTAAACATTTGTTGAGTCCCTTCGAAATGATCTTTAATAAAGAGAGGCCGATATCCTTGGTGAAACATTATCTGCATATGCATTATTACCTACAGAATGATTTCTAATAAATTTCAGGTAATAATAAAGAATATGTTAAAATAATACATTAGAGAGTGTATTAATAGTATTTCTCATTTAAGTATTTAACTTTATGAAACTTGGACTTTACGATTTCACAGGCAGCCAACGAACATTCAAAGATCACATCACTTCAACCCCCTTCCGAAGAGGTTGGAAGAATTGAATGAGCAAGTTGTAGAAACTCATGATACGGGGAAATTTGTTAGCAAATACGCATCCTTGGACCTTGAGAATTGCCTCCAACAGTTGGATGAAAATCCATGTGCAATCCTTGACTTTTCTAATGATGTTTCAACCGTCCTCAATGAGTTCCGAACCTTGTGTTCTCAACTTCGTTGCTAAAGAAACTTTCAGACCAATCCTATCGGCAACAAATTGAAGAATCACTACAAAAACTTCACACTGATCGTAGAGAAATTACAAAAGAGCAAGAAGAAGGTTTAGAACAATTTGTAGAGCTCTACAGTAAAGCTGTCAACATTTCTCAAGATAAGTTGCTGACCGAAGATGAGCAAGCAAAACTAACATCTGAGAAGAGAGACTTGTATAACAAACTTCAACATTCTAAACTGAAAGTTCAACAGTTTGACACCACCATCTCAACTAGAAAGTCTCAGATTGAAAAACTCCAAGAAAGACAAAGGGAAATCCAGGAAGCTACAAAGAAATTTCAAGAGAAATTTGAAGCCTTGGAAAAGGAGAGGTCAACACTAGAGTCTCGATAGTCAGAACTGTTGGTAAAATTTGGGTAATCTATATATATGATACATAATTTAAATGTGTTAGGGTCATTATTTATTAAGCCAAATATTAAAGTAATCTGACTAAATTAAAGTTTTGACTAAAGGCATATGTCATGAAAATAAAATTGTATAGAGACCATAGAGCAATTTCTAATTTGATGAGGGACCAAATTGAAAATACTAAAACTTAAGTAATTAATCTAATTCTGGTTATCTAAAGGGTCATGGTCCCCTTACTGGAGCACACACACGAAGCGTAAGTATCGGTCTCGTTCCTTTCTTTCTATCCCCATCAAGAGAGAAAATCAAGAGGGAAATACGAGTGCTCTTCGGGTGGAAGACCATAAGATCAATATAGTGCTCTACAAAGACATCATCGTTATGGCTAATTCAGGTACGCTTTCGCATTCGGTTTACAACATGTTTATCAATATGAGATTATGTTTATGTTTGATCGTTAGAATCAAAATCGGGATTATTATTATTATTATTAGTTTTTCCAACAATTGGTATCGAGTCGCCCATATTTGATTTATGTCCGTTTAATTTATAGAACCCTAATTATGAAAATTAGGATTAATTTTGTTTTAAACAATTCAAATTACCCAATTTTATGAACCCTAAGTGGAGAATAATCTTTAATTTTCGTGAACCCTAAAATTTAAATTTGGGGGTAACATCCCAATCTGATTCCGCTTGCTGATGGAACCGTGGAGGAAGCTATGGATTCTTATTCTTCTTCGTTTTTCCCTTTTGTTTCAGTTTAAGTTTCAAGTTTACTGAGAAAGAAATAATGTTTCAAATTTTAATCTTTCTTGTATTGGGTTCTCTGTTCTCTTTTAATCTTTTGTTTTTGTTTTTATTTAATTTTATGAGTTTTGTTTTCGTTTTCTTTTCATGGTGGATATGGATGAGTTTGGAATTGGGGGTGGTGTTTGGGGAATTCTCAACATAGAGGATCTTAGGCAATTGGTGAATGTTTCCACATGTGTGACTGTTATTATTTTATTGCCTCTATCCTCTAGGAATTTAAGGAAAATTTGATGTTAAATTAGGGTTTGAGTGATTACTTGTTTAATTCCCTTTTAGGGTTTAGAGCGGTATGCTAAAGAGACTCGAGAACTATCTCTGTTTCATCCCTAGTGTGATTTTAGGGAGATGTTCATCCTTTATGTATTGGTGGAAAATGAGGCATTTTTTCATCCTTTGATTTATTCAAATGAGGTGTTCATCCCTAATGAGATTTTAGGGAGGTGTTCATCCTTAGTAGAATTCTAATGAGATGATTCTCTTTTGAATTAGTTTGCAAATATTAAATATTTGGTTTTGTTATATAAATAAAATATTCAATTTTTGGTAGTTTAATATTTTTTGTGAGCAAATTGAGTCAAGAAGTCACCAAAGTAACTTCTCTTGAATTGGGCGAGTTCATGAAAAATATTGAATGTTAGTGTTTGTGTATATTCATGCGAGTATTAGTCGGTCCAAAGGAAGATTAATATTTGGCCGAATTGCATACACACTTGTAATGATAAACATGTGATAATTATAAGGATTTGCTTTGTCGATGATAAATCAATCAAAAGACTGGTTTGTTGTTGGACGTGCTTTATTGTCAATGTTTGATTATTACAACAAGATACCTCTAGCGAGTTAATATTACTTGTCCAAAGACTTGATATTGATGGTGCATTGGGTATCTTGAGATGGGTTAAACCACTATTTGAATATATATTATTTATTTTTTATATAATGTGAGCATAATTAGTTTATTTCTCGTGTTCTAAATTCAGCTACAATTGCTTCTGTATCTGTCAATTTAAATTCTGTTTCGGTCCTCAATGGAACAAATTTTAAGGACTGGAAAGAGAACATTGATATTGTTCTTGGTTGCATGGATATGGATCTTGCGTTAAGGACTGAGCAACCCCCTACTCCTACGGATTCAAGTATCTCTGAACAAAAAAGAGATTATGAGAAGTGGGATCGCTCAAATCGCATGAGTCTAATGATCATTAAGTGTGACATCCGGAGGTGTTTAGGAGCACTTGTTTACGAAAACATCACAAGTGCCAAAGAATTCCTTGCTTGAAATTGAGCAGCGCTTTGCAAAAAGCGATAAGGCGGAGGCAAGCACTCTTCTTCAGAACTTGATCTCCATGAAATATCAAGGCAAAGGAAATATCAGGGAGTACATTATGAGCATGTCTAATATTGTTTTTAAACTAAAGGCACTAAAGTTTGAACTCTCAGAAGACTTGCTCATTCATTTGGTGTTGATTTCTCTTCCTGCAACGTTTAATCAATTTAAGGTATCTTACAACTGTCAGAAGGATAAATGGTCTCTTAATGAGCTCATTTCACATTGCGTACAAGAAGAGGAAAGACTAAAACAAGACAAGACAGAAAGTGCTCATTTTGCAAGCACCTCCAAGGCTAAGGGCAAAAGAAAGAGATCAGAGGATCTCGAAAAAAAAGGTGTTAAGGGTCCAGAACAAAAGAAACAAACTCAAGAAAACAAATGTTTCTTTTGCAATAAGACTGGACACGTAAAGAAGAAATGTGTTAAATATCATGCTTGACGTGAAAAGAAAGGGTTGCCTAAACTACCGGAAGCCAATTGATTTTGAAAGATGGATTTATGTTGGAGATGGCAAATCGGTAGAGGTGGAAGCTATAGGGTATTTTAAATTGTTATTAAGTACTGATTTTTATTTGGATTTGAAAGACACTTTTGTTGTGCCGTCATTTAGACGGAATTTGGTCTCAGTTTCTTATTTGGACAAATTAGGTTATTTGTGTTCATTTGGAAACAATAAGTTCATTTTGTCTTTTAATTCAGATATTGTTGGAACTGGTTCACTTTTCATTTATGATAATCAGTATTTACTTGATATTGTGACCACCTATAATGAAACCCTTAATACAGAATCATGTGGTACTAAACGTAAAATTGAAAATACTCACTCAAGTGCATTATGGCACAAGTGCTCAGGTCACAATCAAATTGTGACGTTTGGGCTTGTGTTACACTCTTAAAGATATGGTAGAGAGTATGATTTGTCATTCCACCTTACTTGGAATCACTTTGGGGAGAGACACTTAAATATGACAACTTATATTCTAAACAGAGTATCAACTAAAGCAGCTACCAAAACATCTTATGAGTTTTGGATTGGGCGACAACCTAGTCCGAAGCATTTCCATGTGTGGGATTGTCCAGTTGAGGCAAGACCTTATAAGCCAAATGAAAAGAAATTGGACTCCTGAACAGTAAGTAGTTATTTTATTGGTTATGCTGAAAGATCCAGGGGATATAAATTTTATGATCCCACATTAAAGACAATTTTTGAGACGGGAACTGCTACGTTCTTTGAGGATATTGAGTTTGGGGGGAAGAATAAGATTAAGAACTTCATCTTGGAGGAAGAATCAGTAACAATTTCAGAATCGATTCAAATAGTTACTTTTGATAAAGTAAGTTTGGAACCTCCACAAGACATTATTGATGAACCCCTCACTCAAGATGATTTTGTTGTTCATGAAGAACAAACTTAAGATCCTCAAGAACCTGTGCATCATGAGCTAATAACTTTGTAGAGATCCATTAGAGAAAGAAGAAGTGTTATTTCAGATGATTACATGGTATTTCTTCAGGAACATGAGGAAAATAATGATATAATGGAAGATGACCCGAGTTAACTTCAGTCAAGCTATACAAGGTTCTAACTCTCAAAAGTGGATTGAAGCAATAGGATAAGTATAAGTCCATGCAAGACAATAAGGTTATTGGGAACTTGTCCCATTACTAGAAGGTATGAAACCCATTTGGCTTCAAGATGAATATTGTTGATGATTGTGTGTATCACAAGTTTAAAGGGAGACAAGTTTAGTCTCAATTAGTGCCCAAAGGGAAATTTGGAAATTGAGGAAATGCAAAAGATTCCCTATGTATCAGTTGTAGGGAGTTTGATCTATGCCCAAGTATGTACGCATCCGGACATAACATATATAGTTGGGGTTCTAGGCGAGATATTTAAGCAATCCAGGAATAGACCATTGAAAAGCAGCAAAAAGAGTCATAAGATATTTAAAGAGAACAAAAGATTATATGCTCACATATAGGAGGTCAGACCAGTTGGAGATTGCTGGGTTTTCTGACTCAGATTTTGTAGGATGTCAAGAATTTGTAACATGCTATGAGGCATCAAATCATGGAATATGGTTGAGAAATTTTATCACAGGGCTGCAAATTGTGAAAAGCATTGAAAGACCACTTAAGTTATATTATGACAATAAATCAGCTGTATTGTTAAGGAAAGAGTACAAAGTGGACAGATTTTCATAGAACACTTAAGGACAAACTTCATGATAACATATCCTCTAACTAAAGGACTTCCGCCCAAGGTCTTTCATGAGCATTTTGCTCACATGGGTGTTTTACAGTTTGAGGAATTTGTGATTTAGTAGGAGTTAGTCACTTTCATATATTTTATGTTCTATGTTTAATTTCATATATGTATACATTATTATTTTTTGACATATTTGATTATCTATAGATATGCGGTTTTTCGTTCATTCATTACACTTTGTACATTAAGGATATTATATCGATCTCGATAAGTTAAAGTTTGGACCAGTTGAAAATAGACGTGTACAGATCACCTTCACGTAATTTTTCATGCTACACATTTCATGATGAATCCATGTCATTTGGTTATGTAGGATGAGTAATCATTGTTGGTTTTAATTGCGATGATGCAATGAAAAGCTGGTTTGGTTCTATATCCTGATATGATTAATGGACAAGACTTTTGGAGTATGTTAAAGGAATATAATGACAATTTTGAGCTCATAAAGTCTAACACATTTGTAAGGTTGTAAGAACATATATATTTGTGACCAGTGGGAGATTGTTGGCAAAATTTGGGTCATGTATATATATGATACATAATTTAAATGTGTTAGGGTCATTATTTATTAAGCCAAATATTAAAGTGATCTGACTAAATTAAAGTTTTGGCTAAATGCATATGTCATGAAAATAAAATTGTGTAGAGACCATAGTGTTAGGATCGAGCGCTTACCACTAGGCCAAAAGCTATAGCCATTAGTCAGAGCGCAACTCTTTTTACTTTAACAGCCCAAGCGCCACGATTCAATTGTGACTCGGCCCACCTGACCTTCGTCACAGGACAATTGATGCTACCTGCAACAATCTCCCCCTCAGCAATTGTCCTACAAGGTATCCCACTCTTGGATTGTGACTTGGCCCACCCGGCCTCTGCCACGGGACAATTGTGCAACCTGCAACAATCTCCCCCTCAACAATTGCCCACCGGGAATCGAACTCGTGACCTTGGCTCGATACCAATTGTTAGGATCGAGCGCTTACCACTAGGCCAAAAGCTATAGCCATTAGTCAGAGCGCAACTCTTTTTACTTTAACAGCCCAAGCGCCACGATTCAATTGTGACTCGGTCCACCTGACCTTCGTCACAAAAGGTTTTGAAGTACAAGGCGGAGAAAATCTTGTATGCAAGCTTCATAAAAGTTTGTACGGATTAAAACAAGCGCCGAGACAATGGTACAAGAAGTTTAATGAGTTTATGAGAAACTCGAGATTTCGCAGATGTGAAGAAGATCACTCGTTGTTATGTGAAGAAATATGTTGATAGCTATATCATTCTTGCCTTATATGTTGATGACATGTTGATTGTTGGAGCTAATATGGCAGAAATTGACAAGTTGAAGAAACAATTGTCAGAGAGCTTTGAAATGAAGGATCTTGGTCCAGCCAAGCAAATTCTTGGTATGAGAATCTCCCGAGATAGAGATAAAGGTATTTTGAACTTATCTCAAGAAAAATATATAGAAAAATTGCTTAGCGAGATTCAATGTTGGGAATGCTAAAACCAGGAATACACCTTTGGGAACTCACTTAAAGTTTTCAAAGAGGCAATCTTCTCAAACAGAAGAAGAAGAAAGTCACATGTCTAAAGTGCCATATGCATCTGCAGGTAGGAAGCTTGATGTATGCTATGGTTTGCACCGGACCGGACATAGCACATGCGAGTGGGAGTTGTGAGCAGATTTCTATCAAATCCCGGAAAGGAGCATTGGGAAGGAGTGAAGTGGATATTCGGATATTTGAAAGGCACTTCAAAGATGCATTTGTCTTTCAAGAGAAGTAATCTCATTTTACAGGGGTTTTCGATGCGAGACTTGGGAGGTGATCTTGACGGTAGAAAGAGCACAACGGGTTATATTTTTACATTGGGTGGTACAGCTATCGGTTGGAAGTCTAAACTTCAAGGAAGGGTCTCTCTCTCAACCACTGAAGCGAGTATGTAGCTATCTCGGAAGCGGCGAAGGAGATGATATGGTTGAAGAACCTTCTAAAAGAATTAGGAAGAGAACAAGATGGTTCTCCGTTGTTTAGTGACGATCAAAGTGCTATTTGTCTTGCTAAAAATCCAATCCTTCATTCCGAGATGTAAGCACATTGAATTGAAGTATCATTTTATCGAAACTCGATAAATGATGGAGACTTGAGTTTGTTGAAGATTCCAGTGCGAGAGAATCCCGTCGATATGTTGACCAAGAGCTGTTACAACAACTAAGTTGAGGCTTTGCATTGCCTCAAGCGGCCTTCGAGCAAATTGATGATGAAGGCACTACACTAGGTGGTAACGTAAATCAAACTCCAAGTGGGAGAATTGTTAGTATTATGGTGCTTGATTTAGTCCCACATCGATTAGGATTGTGAGATGAGGTTCTCTATTTTGTTATATAAGCAACCCTATGTAAAGTTTGAGATACACACAGAAATAAAAATTACTTCCTAGTGTAGTCGTGGACGTAGGCATACATATTTTAGCCGAACCACGTTAAAATTCTTGTGTCGTTTATTTTTCTCTCCTTCATTCTTTCTTTTATTATTGTCTTGTTCCTAACACATAGAGCAATTTCTAATTTGATGAGGGGCCAAATTAGAAATACTAAAACTTAAGTAATTAACCTAATTCTGGTTATCTAAAGGGTCATGGTCCCCTTCTGGGAGCACACACACACAGAACGTAAGTATCAGTCCCGTTCCTTTCTTTCTATCCCCATCAAGAGAGAAAATCAAGAGGGAAATATAGGTGCTCTTCAGGTGGAAGACCATAAGATCAATATAGTGCTCTACAAAGACATCATCGTTATGGTTAATTCAGGTACGCTTTCGCATTCAGTTTACAACATGTTTATCAGTATGAGATTATGTTTATGTTTGATCGTTAGAATCAAAATTAGGATTATTATTATTATTATTGTTTTTCCAACAAGAACAACAAAACAAGAAGTGTGAAACACTTGAATCAGTATATACCCACTTCTGTTGTTCGCACAACCAAACAATTAGCAGAACTTGAAGAGAAAAGGTTGAGTTTGGCTTCAGCTTACAACGACCTCAAAGAGCCATATTGAAGAATGAAGACAAAAAAACCCCATTTTAGTTTTCTTTTGATGTGCTTTTTATTTGAATCATTCCATGGATATTGCTTAAAGAAATGTGGTGTATCGAAGGTGATAGCTATTTGTTGGAAAGTGAAATTTGTATGGATGATGCACTTGGTTTCAATTAGTATTTGACTTCAAATTTTATGTAGAGTAAATAATCCTTTCTTTTTCACAAGTATTTCTTAATATTACATTGTGAAAAATATGATTAAAATAGGAAAAAAGGTTAATACTATATATTTTATCTCTTTAGTTTCGGAGGAGTGATTTACTATTCTTATTTTGTAATAGTTATAAATAACTAAATATTTAACAAAATTAATAAAGAATTAATGTAAAAGAAATTAATTTACAAATGATGAAAAATATATTTTTAAGTAATAATAGTAATAATGAAAAAATATATTTTTATACATTACAAATGTTAAAATTTTATAAAATACCGAAAATTTAAAAATGATCTTCACATAAATAATTTTCATACTAAAGCAAGACTCAAAGATAAGGTAACGATGATTAGAAAAGTGAAAAGGAATGAAATGTTCAGAAACACAGATACTGTTAAGGTCGATGATTGAAATAAATTCTGTGGAAAAACATCTCAAATGTCACATTCAATTCAAACCTTGTGGCTGTCGTAATTTGACTTAGCCAATTATTTCAACTTATTTGATTTGCTATTTTCTAAAGTTCACTTAATCTATGTTGTTTGAAAAGAATTATAAAACTTTTTCATCATTAAATAATATGAAACCAATTGAATTTATCATAAAACTTGTATGTGATGTTGGTTGTTTGATTTGGCGGCATTGGGAGTGGAGAAATTGGAAAGTTTGGAGATGTCATCATCCTTTGCAGAAAAGCACGATGTTTTTCTGAGCTTCAGAGGAGAGGACACGCGAAGCAACTTCACAAGCCATCTTTACACTGCTCTGCTTCAGAAATCAATCACCACATTCATAGATTACAAACTCATCAGAGGAGACTACGCTTGGCCAACCCTTTCCAGAGCGATCGATGAGTCTGTAGTGTCAATTGTTGTTTTCTCAGAAAACTATGCTTCCTCGACGTGGTGCTTGAAAGAACTTGTGCACATACTCGAATGCAGAAGAAAGCGGGGTCTTGTTGTTATACCCGTCTTCTACAAAGTAGATCCCACGCACATAAGGAAGCTGCGTGGGAGCTACGAAAAGGCATTCGCAAAGCATGAGCGAGACCCCACATTGTCCAATCGCAAATCCCACCGGCAGGACGTTTCCAGGTGGAAAGCTGCTCTCAAAGAAGCATCCAATATTTCTGGATGGGACTCAAGATCATACAGGTACATGCCAATTACCTTATTCATACTATCTTTTTTCAAGCAAATGATTTTTACAGTATCCCAAAACTTACTATCATGAACTAGTATGAGTTGGAAAGATACGATTTTCACTGATGATCAACCATTATTTTAATGTTATATATTACAATGTTAACTTAAAATTTGCAATAAAAAATAAATGAAAGAGTAGGAATGGATAATAATATTATTTCCCTATGTCTGGTTGGTTTGATTCATTCTTGTGACAGGGACGAATCTCAAGTCATCCAGAATCTTGTCAATGATGTATTGCAAAAGCTACACCTGAGATGCCCTACGGAACTAAAAGGCCTTGTTAGAATTAAAAGTAATTTTGGAAAGGTGGAATCGTTAGTGAAAAAATATCGAGTCATTGGAATTTGGGGAATGGGGGGAATTGGTAAGTCAACCATTGCTAAAACCTTGTTTGCCAAATACTTTCCCCATTTTGATCATGTCTGCTTTGTGGCCAATGCGAAAGAATATTCCCTCGATAAGCTTTTCTCGGAGCTATTGAGAGAGGAAGTTTCCGCATCAAATGTGGTAGGATCAACATTTGATATGAGGAGACTCAGAAGGAAAAAGGTTCTCATTGTGCTTGATGATGTTGATTGTTTAGACCCTTTAGAATATTTATGTAGAGAGTATGGGGACCTAGATCGCGATAGTAGACTCATCATAACAACACGAGATAAGCAGCTGCTTGAGGGCAGAGTTGATTGGATCTACGAGGTCAAGAAATGGAAAAACACAGCATCTCTAAAGCTTTTTTGCTTAGAAGCCTTCAAGAAAAAACATCCCCCGAAAGGTTTTGAGAGTCTCTCAGAAAGTGCAGTTGAATATGCTGGTGGCATTCCATTAGCTCTTAAAGTTTTGGGTTCGCATCTTCGTTCGAGAAGTATCAATTTTTGGGAAAGTACTTTGAGAAAACTCAGCATGCATCCTAATGAGAAAATTCAGAACTTGTTAAAAGTGAGCTATACTGAATTAGATGATTTAGAAAAGAATATATTTCTAGATATTGCATTTTTTCACAAAGAACAAAGGAAAGATCATGTCATAAGGATATTAGATGCCTGTGGTTTTGAGGCAACTAGTGGAGTAGATGTTCTTGAAGACAAAGCTTTGATTACTATTTCAAATAGAAATATAATACAAATGCATGACTTGCTGCTAAAAATGGGTTTGGAGATAGTACGTCAAGAGAGCAGTGGGCATCCTGGAAGTCGTAGTCGATTGAAGGATGATGAAGCTAGGGAAGTGATTGAACAAAACGAGGTAAGGAAAAGAAAAGATGACCTTTTTTATGAGACATTTTTCTTAAAGAGAACGTTGCAAACTTGATGTCGTCCACCTCTTGTTTTCTTTTTTGTATGCTTTACCAGGGAACTGGTGCAATTCAAGGAATAGCACTAGATTTGTCTCAAATTAAAGGTTTAATTTTGTATGCTGACACATTCACAAAGATGAAAACCTTAAGATTTCTGAAATTCTACACCAGTTTGGGTGAGAGTGCTAGTGATACATACCTTGACCTTCCCACAACTCTTGACCCATTTTCTGATAAACTGAGGTACATTGAGTGGATTGGATACCCTTTTGAGTCTCTTCCATCACCTTTTTGTGCTAAGTTTCTCGTGGAGATTCACATGCCACGCAGCAAAGTTAAACAACTTTGGCAGGGGATCCAGGTAATTAAAGAATGATATGTATGTAAACTTGTTTACATTATTTTTTAAGTATTTTCCTTTGTGATGCCTCCTTTTTGAAATTTTTTACAGGAGCTTGATAATTTAGAAGGAATTGACCTAAGACAATGCAAACAGTTTGAGGAGCTTCCAGATTTGTCTAAGGCGCCAAGACTTAAATGGGTGATTCTCACCGGTTGTGAAAGTTTGCAGTATCTTCATCCATCTGTTTTATCCTCAGACACGCTTGTTACTTTGATACTGGATAGGTGTACAAACCTTAAGAGAGTTAAAAGTGAGAAACATTTAAAATCTCTAGAGAAGATCAGTGTCAATGGCTGCTTAAATCTGGAGGAATTTGCAGTTTCATCAGATTTAATTGAAAACTTGGATTTAAGCAATACAGGAATCCAAACATTGGACACATCAATAGGGAGTATGTATAAACTTAAGTGGCTCAATCTGGAGGGCTTAAAACTCAAGCATCTTTTGAAAGAGTTATCATGCTTGACATCTCTCAAGGTGCTGAAGATTTCTGATAATGGACTAGTAATGGACAAACAGAAAATACATGTTCTATTTGATGGATTAAGGTACTTAGAAATACTATATTTGAAGGATTGTAGTAAGCTGTTTGAACTCCCCGACAACATCAGTTTCTTAACACAATTAAGAGAACTAAGGTTAGACAGAAGCGATGTGAAAAGGTTGCCTGAAAGCGTTAAGAATCTTCACAAGTTGGAAATTCTGTCCTTGGAGAATTGCAAGGAGCTTTTTTGCCTTCCAAAGTTTCCATCCCTCATCAAATACTTACGTGCCATTAACTGCACGTCATTGGTGTCAGTGTCAAACTTGAAGACTTTGGCAACAGAGATGTTAGGAATGACCAAACGCATTACATTCAAGAACAGCTGCCAATTGGATGGACATTCACTCAAACTTATTATGGAAAGCCTCCATTTAACAATGTTGAGTGCTGCATATCACAATGTGTTAGTAAGAAGATCATATGGGTCGTACCACAGCTACAACTATACAGCTGTTGAGCTTTGTTTACCAGGAGGGAGTGTCCCTGAGAAGATCCATTATCGATCTACTAAGTCCTCCATTACCATTGTACTTCCTCCACGTTCTGACTTACTGGGCTTCATTTACTCTGTGGTTCTTTCTCCAGCTGGTGGAAGGAAGACTTATGGCACTAAGATAAATTGTAAATGCCACTTGCCAGAAGAAGGTATAATGGAAACATGGCTATATAGTGATATCAGGGAATTGAAGTCGGATCATGTTTATGTATGGTATGATCCATTACACTGTGACAGCATTCTCAAATATCATGAACGACCAAAGGTTTTTTTTGAGTTCAATGTTGCAAATGATAAGGGGGAAGTTGACGGTTCCATTTGTATTGAAGAGTGCGGGGTAGGCCTAGTAAGTGTTTCAGAGGTGGAGAGTGTTTTACAAGAGTTGGACTTTGATTCCGATAAGAAAAAGGAGTTGATGGAGGGAGTGGAGTTGGAATCAAAATTAGGGAATCAACAGCGAGATTGGAGTGAATGGAGTTCCTCTGACAGTCCAACATCTCTAACCAGCTCCTCTGGTATGCAACTCATTGCTCTCTTTCATTAATATCTTGTAATCTTCTATTATAACAAACCTTCATGATCATATAACAGTTAAGTTGAGATGATCCAATGTATATTATAACTCATGTTATAGTTCTAATTTCTAAAGTTCGAACCTATCAAAATTGTAGTGAAAAAAAAATATATATATTTTTGATAAAGTAGATATAGACTTAATTCATTCATTACCTTTAAAAAGATCTTTTCACCCTACTTTGTATTATAATTTAATCATATCTGTAGTAGTTGATGTGAGTTCTCCAACATATCCTCTCACGTCGAAGAGGGACTGGACATCTCGAACTTAGAATTTAATATTTGTAAGATTTTCAATATATTTTCTCAAATCGAGGACATGGGTGATTTCTAATACATCTTAAAATTATATTAACATGTTTATTATGCCTATAAGTTTCATAATTTTAGTAACCGGAACCTAAATCTTAAACCCATTTTCCTGTCCATATTTGCATTACCACCATACCCACACTCATTCACATAACATAGGTCACTCTATTTTTTTGCAATTTATCATTTTTCTTGTCGATGCAGAGTCGGATTCAGAGATGGTTGAACCAGATTTAGCTGAAAAAGGTAAATATACTCACAAGGAAACGAAAACTGATTCTGGAATAAATGCGGTAAGTCAAGAGTTCTTACATTTCAACAAAGTTGATCTTCCATCTTAGTTGAAAGTGCAGAAAAAATACAAAAAGATAAACTTACATTTTATCATTATTTTAATTTTCAATTTTGTCAAACTTTCAATACGTTATATTGTGCAGGTCAAACACGAAGGTAATAAAGAAGCTCCAATCAAATCAGATGCAACATTGCATGAGACCGTCGAGTCACATTCAGACAATGAAAACAAGTTCAGAGAAAAGTCAAGTAAGGAATTATAACTGTGGTTGAAATATGACATTGTTTAATCAAAATGATATATACAAGTTAGAGATAATTCTCACTTTAAGAATTAACTTTTGAAGTTAAGTTAGACCAAATCCCGAAATATGTGCATATCATTAGTTAAACAAAGTTAATAATTACTAGTTTAATTATGTTGTACTATTAATTTTATAATTAATGACTATTATTTTAATGAGCTTATTAATGTTTAAAAAAATTATTAAAAGAATAATGTTTTAAGAAAATATGAACTTGATATTAATGATATAAGGGGACAGTGTTATTATAATGGTCAAATATGGAAAGTAAAAATTAATGAGTAAAAAAATTTGTTAAACTTAAATATTAGAACATTTTATATGCTGTCATAATTTGAATTTAGTTTTATGTGATATGGCTAATCCATGTATTAGAGTTATTTCTTTGTATGGAGTTCTACAATGTATTTATTCTTTATTAATATTATCTACAAAACATTGGATAATTTTGCAAGGTAATGAATGCATAATTTTTCTTCTATGTTTAGTTACACAATCAAAGGTAGCAGTGATGGTTGAACTAGAGACTGAATCTACTTGCAAGGAAACCCAGAGCACTGCTAAAAGACATCCCAAAGAGGAATCCACAGAGTCTACACAAGTTGTAAGTATCTTCTTTTTTTTTTTTTGACAAATTCTAGCCTTTTATTTTTGAAAAGTACCAAAAATACAAAATGTAACACTAGCGTGTTAGCATTATTTCAACTTTCAAATTTCAACTATATCAATTGTGAATATAAGAAAAAGCTCTTCTAGGTTCCAAGCAAAGGAGTTAATGGAACACAAGCTGAACCTGATTCTGTATTGTATGAACATTTTGAATCACAGCTAGACAAAGAAAATGCATCTGAACAGATAACTATTTAGCTTAAACAATATTATTATTTTAATATATCTTTAGTATTTGAATCATTATGTGTATGGATATTTTTCGCATAAACATTATTTTGTTTAAAATACTCTTATTAATATATTTTCTAAAAATTCATTTCAAATATTATCTTCTAAGTTAGAGTTTCTTGTTAAAATAAGTATATCTTTTTTGAAGAATGGAACTGAGAAAAAAGTGCTTTTAAAAAGCGTGTTGGTGGCATTTCTCATGTAATTATCAATTTGATGATTACTTTGTGCAGGATAAAATCAGATTAAGTGAAAGAAAGCGAACTGAATCCGATGTTGGATTGCATCAACCTACGGTGTCAGTTAATGAATCTAATGCTTCTAAGGAGGATAATTCAAGTGAAATTAACTGTGACTGGCCAGATACCAATATTCAAGAGGTTAATTATTCAGAAGCAAATGAATACCTACATGCAGGAGAAATCTTAGTTCATCATGACATTCATGATGTCAATGTTGCTGAAGAACCAAACCATGAAAATGAAAGGGAAAACAGAGGAACTGATCATTGCTTCCGAGCTGAAGGAGAAGATGGATCAGATGAGGACCCTTTTGCTGAACTTGATAGCATCCTGTTGAGAAGTCCCAAGTCCTCAGCAAAAGCAACATCTACAACCGATGTGGCTGTAAGTGAAGCTTTGCATAATCTTAATTTCCTACTGGAGAACTCACTTGATTGCATTCTCGGTGACACTGAACTACAACAAGAATTACTCACCACTTTGGAATTCATAAAAGAGGCATCCCAGGAAAAAGTTTCTCCTAATGTTGCAAAGCTGGTTGAAGGAATAACTTCCTCTATTGATTATCTATTCAAGGACTTTCCCTCGACTCAAAACGTAGTAGAAGCTCACACAAGCCATTTGCTACAAAAGCAAAAACTTGTACAGCAAGTGAGAGATGCTAAGAAACAGAAAGAATTATTGAACAAAGAAATGCGTCAATATAGGTTTGAAACTGAACGGCTTGGCAAGAAGGCTGAAAAGCTGGATGAAATGATTCAACTTTTTACTGAACAAAAGAAAAGTGTTGAGTTGAAAAGGGCCAAGTTGAAGGAGACTCTGGAAAAATGTGAAGGTGAAAAGAAGAAACTGAAACAAGAGGCTAAGAATAAGGTAACTGAAAGCAAAGAGATAATGTTGGTGATTGAGAATTCTAAAGCCTCGTATGATGCTGCCCTGTCCAAGCAGCAGATGTTGAATGATAAATGGGAAGGTTTCAGAACAGCTTTTGCAGACAACTGTGGGACACTGGTAGCTCATGACAGCTGATGGCATCAACCAGAACTTATAATTTTTTTATTATTAATTTCATTTTCTGTTATAAAGGTACTGAAAAACATCTTCATTCTGGATAGCAGTAGTTTCCTTCTCACAAGTGTTCCGGATCCCTTAGAAGAGGTAGAAACAGATTCTCGTGCATGATATCAGGATATCTTGAATAAGAGATACTGAAAATTTTGGTGAAAAATCCTGGCCTGGAGAGGAAGCTTAAAGAAAAAGAAGAGAAAGATACAAAAGAAAAAGCTATTGTCGCATTCTTGTAACGGGAAGATGAGTATAGTGTTAGAACAAAGTCCCACATCGGTGGGTACTTCAAAGGGGGCATGGGTGAGTGGTTATATAAGAAACCACATACCCCCTATTCTATCCATCCCAAATTTTCTTTCTTTCACTAATATTAGAAAGGGTTGTCATTCTTAGGACTAGAGAAAGGGTATGTAATTTTTCTTCCTATTATAAAATTTCTACTTTTGTCTATTATTGCTATTCAATTTTTCTTTTCTCTATTTTAGTTGAGTTCTTGTGCAAGTAGTCTGATACCAGTGGTATCAGAGCCACGTTCTTATTTCGGTTATTCTGTTGCGCTAGTATGCTCTGTGGTTGCGGTTTATCTTCCACATCAGAAAAAGACCCGTAGAAACGACGGATCAGAAGTGGAAGGAAATTGACGGCAATGCTTGCATTTAGCAATGACAGATTCCGTATTATCCAGTGTTGCGGAAAAGAATACAGCAAAGGAGATTTGGGATGCCCTCATCAAATTATGTGAGGTGAAGTTTCTTCACACAAGGATATTCTTGAAGCGGAAACTCTACACTCTTCGAATGAGTGAGTCCACATCGATGATGAACCACATCAATCATTTGAACACCTTATTTGCCCAACTATCAGCAGCAGATTTCAACATAGTTGCAAATGAGCGTGCGGAACTTCTACTTCAGAGCCTACCAGACTCATATGATCAACTCATCATCAACATAACAAATACTAATATGGAAGGAAATCTACGCTTTGAGGATGTTGTCGGAGCTACTCTAGAAGAAGAATCCAGACGCAAGAATAAGGTAGATAGATTGGAAAATTCCAAGCAAGCAGAGGCTTTGACGATGGTGAGAGGGGAAAATCAATAGAGCGTGGCTCCAGTGGGAGTCAAAATCATGGTAGATCAAAATCTCGAGGAAGGAAGAATTTCAAATGTTACTATTGTGGCATGAGAGGACACTTGAAGAAAGATTGTTGGAAGAAGAAAAATGCAGAGAAGTCTTCTGAGGCAACTACATCTCAAGGATGTGTTGCCAGTACCTCTGATGATGGAGAAATCCTGTATAGCAAAGCAGCTATTGGTTCCAAAGGTGAAAAGCAGCTCACTGATGTTTGGATAATAGATTCGGGAGCAACATGACACATGACTTCACGAAGAGATTGGTTTTGCACTTATAAACCTATCTCAGAGGGATCTGTGTTCATGGGTAATTATCACGCCTTGGAAATTGTTGGAATCGGTACTGTCAAATTGAAGATGTATAATGGTACTATTCGCACAATTCAAGGGGTACGACATGTGAAGGGCTTGAGAAAGAATTTATTGTCTATTGGACAATTGGATGACCTCCGTTACAAGACCCATATTGAAGGTGAGATCTTGAAAGTAGTAAAAGGTGCTCTAGTAGTGATGAAAGCAGAGAATTTTACTGCAAACTTATACATGTTTTTGGGAGATACGTTGCAAGAGGCAGATGTATCAGTTGCATCAGCTAGTCAAGAGGAATCAACAACAATGTGGCATCGTAGACTAGGTCATATGTCAGAACGAGGCTTGAAGGTCCTTGCGGAACGTAAACTCTTACCCGGGCTCACATCGGTAAGCTTACCTTTCTGTGAGCACTGTATGACAAGCAAACAACATAGATTAAAATTTGAAAAATCAACTACTAGAAGCAAACACATACTTGACTTGATACATTCTGATGTGTGGGAGTCACCGGAAATGTCCCTAGGAGGAGCTAAATATTTTGTATCATTTATTGATGATTACTCTAGGAGATTGTGGGTGTACCCAATCAAGAAAAGTCATATGTGTTTCCAGTTTTCAAGAAATTCAAAGCACAAGTGGAGCTTGAAACTGGGAAGAAGATCAAGTGCTTAAGGACAGACAATGGAGGAGAATATATATATGGTGAGTTTCTAGCATTCTGCAAGCAGGAGGGTATAAGGAGATAGTTCACGGTTGCTCATACACCTCAGCAAAATGGTGTAGCAGAGCGGATGAATAGAACTCTCCTAGAGAGGACTAGAGCTATGTTGCGAACAACAAGATTAGCCAAGTCTTTTTGGGCAGAAGCAGTGAAGACAACTTGCTACATGATAAATCAATCCCCATCAATTGTGATTGGTTTAAAGACACCTATGGAGATGTGGAAAGGAAAGCCAGCAGAGTACTCTTCTCTACATGTGTTTGGATGTCCTGTGTACGTAATGTACAACTCCCAAGAAAGAACAAAATTGGATCCAAAATCCAAAAAATACATATTCTTGGGCTATGCTAACGGAGTTAAGGGGTATCGCCTGTGAGATCCCACTGCCCGCAAGGTTATTGTCAGCAGAGACGTAATTTTTGCAGAGAATGAACTGCAAAATGAACACGTAAATGACAATACTTCTAAAGATTTTACTACTGTACAAATAGATGGAAAGTCTGGAGAAGAAGATTCTTTAGAAGCAGAACCAGAGCATGAGGAACAAGAACCAGAAGAGGCCAATGATACAGAAGTTCGACGAATAACACGTCAGATAAGGAGACCATCTTGGCACTCAGACTATGTAATGGCAAGTCATGATGCATACTGTCTTCTAACAGAAGAGGGAGAACCGTCAACCTTTCAGGAGGCTGTGAGTAGTTCAAATACTTCTCTGTAGATGACAGCAATGCAAGAACAAATAGAAGTCTTACACAAAAAAAGACATGGGAGTTTGTTGCACTTCCACAAGGTCAAAAAGTCATCGACAACAAATGAGTTTATAAGATCAAACGTGATGGTAATGATCAAGTGGAACGATATCGTGCAAGACTGGTAGTAAAAGGGTATGCTCAAAAGGAAGGCATTGATTTCAATGAGATATTCTCTCTGGTGGTTAGACTTACCACTATCAGAGTAGTGTTGGCTATGTGTGCTGCATTTGACTTACATGTTGAACAATTGGATGTAAAGACTGCTTTTCTTCATGGAGAACTTGAAGAAGAAATTTATATGCTCCAACCAGAAGACTTTGAAGAACAAGGAAAAGAAAACTTGGTTTGTAGGTTGACCAAATCTTTGTACGGTTTAAAGCAGGCGCCAAGGTGTTGGTACAAGAGATTTGATTCCTTCATTATTAGTCTCAGATACAACAGGCTGAGTTCAGACCATTGTACGTATTACAAGAGGTTTGATGATAATGATTTCATCATTTTGCTGTTGTATGTGGATGACATGGTGGTAGGCCCCAACAAAGATCGAATCCAAGAATTGAAGGCACAGTTGGCTAGGGAATTTGATATGAAGGACTTGGGACTCGCAAACAAAATTTTAGGGATGTAAATTCACTGAGACAAAAATGATAGGAAGATTTGGCTCTCTCAGAAGAATTATCTTAAGAAAGTCTTGCGGCGCTTCAACATGCAAGATTGTAAGCCAATCTCTACCCCATTGCCTATCAATTATAAATTATCCTCAGATATGTGTCTTAGCAGTGAAGCAGAGAGGATGGAAATGTCTCGAGTGCCGTATGCATCGACGGTGGGAAGTCTTATGTATGCTATGATTTGTACGAGACCAGATATTGCACAAGTAGTCGGGACGGTTAGTCGATTTATGGCAAATCCTGGTAGAGAGCACTAGAATGATGTGAAAAGGATCCTAAGATACATTAAAGGAACCTCAAATGCTGCATTATGTTTTGAAGGATCAGAGTTTATTGTCAGAGGATATATTGATTCAGATTTTGCAGGTGATCTTGATAAAAGAAAATCTACTACAGGATATGTGTTTACACTTGCAAGTGGAGCGGTAAGTTGGCTATCTAAACTGGAGACTGTTGTAGCCTTATCTACTATAGAGGCGGAGTACATGGCAGCTACCCAGGCATGCAAGGAAGCAATTTGGATTCAAAGGTTATTGGGAGAACTCGGACACAAGCAACGAGAAGATCAATGTGTATTGTGACGATCGAGTGCCTTACACATTGCAAGGAATCCAACTTTTCATTCCAGAACAAAACACATAGGAGTACAATATCATTTTGTCATAGAAGTAGTAGAGGAAGGGAGTGTGGATATGCAGAAGATTCATACCAAAGATAACCTAGCAGATGCTATGACAAAACCAGTAAATGCTGACAAGTTTATACAAAGTCAATCCTGTTATGGCCTATTGAAAGCATAAGCAGCATAGATGGAAAAGATAATCATGGTGTGAAGATTTGATTAATTTCATCAAAATCTTCAAGTGGGAGATTGTGAGAACAAAGTCCCACATCGGTGGGTACTTCAAAGGGGGCATGGGTGAGTGGTTATATAAGAAACCACATACCCCCTATTATATCCATCCCAAATTTTCTTTCTTTCTCTAGTATTAGAAAGTGTTGTCATTCTTAGGACTAGAGAAGGAGTATGTAATTTTTCTTCTTATTATAAAATTTCTACTTTTGTCTATTATTGATATTCAATTTTTCTTTTCTCTATTTTAGTTGAGTTCTTGTGCAAGTAGTCTGATACCTAACATATTGTTGAGTTAAATGTCAGTAAATTGTTGATAACTTGTATCATTGAAATAATAAGACATAGAACAACATTCTCTTATCATGTAATATCCTTTCCCTTATGTTGCCCCTTCAAAGCACTACATTATGTGATAACTCTTTTTCTTATAAACGCCAATATGTTCCACAAAATAGTATCAACAACCTATTGACCATAAAACATCTATTATATAACAGAGTAACATAGTAAT